TTTCTTGGCAGGAATCAGGCTACTGCTCAAGCGGCACAGTCCCAGAGACACCTGGGCTTTGACGCCAGTGCTGCTCACAGCCCCAGCCAGGCCGGCCTCGCACAGGAAAGGGTACGTGCAGGCTAAGGGACGGGGTACACCGAGTTAGAGCACCCCTGGAGCTGCAGCAGGACAGGAGCTGGGTGAGATCCGCGTTTCCTGTCAGGAGCAGCGCCCCCCTGGGAAAAAGTGGCTCATGGCGCTAAACTTTCCACCTCCAGGCCTCACAGGGGTGCATGGTGGCCGAACAAGGCACTCGCAGGCCATGAGCGCCCCCTCTGCCAGCCCCAGCACCTGTGCTGAGCCCGCCACTCCCACGAAGCCCTTCCCCAGTGCTCTCCACCTGCCAGTCTTTTCTGCCCAATCCATGCCCAGCAGGGCCTGAGAGGGAGATCAGTTGGCTGAGCCTGCTCTGTACCCAAGACCTAGAAGTAGAGCATCGTGCGTTTGCTTGGTGGAAGGTCGAGGGTCCAGGGCGAAGTGGGGGAACCATGCGTGCTGGAAGATCCTGTTCCCTTGGGGTACAAACAGCACGACTTTGACTAGTCCAAGTCCAAGAAGAACAATTTCCTTGGGCTGCCTCCTAGTCTACAGCGCAACTTTGACCAGGTCATCCGGTCCCTCTGGGTCTGTCACTCCACCTATGCAATGACAAATCTGGCCCTGCTGTACCTGTGCTGCAGGCGTCAGGCTGTCAGTGCTCTCCCAGTCTCCCTCAAAGTTTTCTGGTCCTGTTTCTATGTTACTAAATTAACTCACTAGCCTGGGTTCAAAAGTTCTGACTCCTCCCCTCAATTACAGCTTCATGCTAATGTTCGCCCTGGGAGGCAGCAGATGACAACTCAAATACTTGGTTTCTTGCCACTCATGTGGGAGGCCCAGACTGAGCTCTGGGCTCCTGGCTTTGGTATGGCCCAGCCTCAGCTATTGCTGGCATTTGGGGAGCATATAGGAGATTGATCTCTGTCTCCTTGCCTTTCAAATAAATAAAAATAGCTTTTAAAACTTTTTTTATAAAGAGTTGTTAATTTTATTTGAAGGCAGAGTTATAGAGAGAGAGAGGGAGAAAGATAAAGGTCTTTCATCCACCAGTTCACTCCCCAAATGGCTGCAATAGCCAAAGCTGGGCTGATCCAAACCAGGAGTCAGGAGCTTCCTCAGGGTCTCCCATGAGGGTGCAGGGGCCCAAGCACTTGGGCCATCTTCTACTGCTTTCCCAGACCATAGCAGAGAGCTGGATCGAAAGTGGAGCAGCCAGGACTTGAACCAGTCACACATAGGATGCCGGCACTGCAGACAGCAGCTCTACCCGCTATGATGCAGTACTGGCCCCACAGATTTTAAAACTTTTAAAAAATAAAATTGAATCAAGAAATTGAGGTAGTGGTGAGGCCAGCCCACAGACTCGCCCAGATCACAAGACTCGAAGCTCATTTATCTCTGGAGGTAACATCTTTTTTTTTTTTTTTTTTTTGACAAGCAGAGTTAGACAGTGAGAGAGAGAGAGAGAGAGAGAGAGAGAAAGGTCTTCCTTTTTCTGTTGGTTCACCCCCTAAATGGCTGCCATGGCCAGTGCACTGCGCCAATCCAAAGCCAGGAGCCAGGAGCCAGGTGCTTTCTCCTGGTCTCCCATGTGGATGCAGGGACCCACGCATTTGGGCCATCCTCCACTGCCCTCCAGGGCCACAGCAGAGAGCTGGACTGGAAGAGGAGAAACAGGGACAGAATCTGGTGCCCTGACTGGGACTAGAACCCGGGGTGCTGGCGCCACAGGCAGAGGATTAGACAAGTGAGCCGCAGCGCTGGCCCTGTAAGTAATCTAAGCCATCAGCATCGGAACTATATTGGTGCATAAAATGAGTGTTAGTAGTAATTATTTAATCTCACTGCTGATTGCTAGTATTTCAGTTCTCCTAACCACGGAACACATCATCGGATATATAAAACAGTGTTTCCTAGATTGGAGTTTTTCATACACTGCTTTCATGATTGTGGTTTTACCTGTTTATTAGCGCCTAGTGTTGTCTTAATTTTAGTCATATTTATCTGAACATTTATTTACTTAGTTTTTTAAGTGATTCATTTTTAACATAAATTTATTTAAAAGGAAATTTTATATCACTATTATAAAAGCAAATCTAGGAGTTGGTGCTGTGGCATAGCAGGTAAAAGCTGCTGCCTGCAGTGCCGGCATCCCATAGGGCACCAGTTCGAGTCCGGCTGCTCCACTTCCGATCCAGCTCTCTGCTATGGCCTGGGAAAGCAGTGGAAGATGGCCCAAGTCCTTGGGCCCCTGCACCCACATGGGAGACCCAGAAGAAGCTCCTGGCTCCTAGCTTCTGATTGGTGCAGCTCTGGCTGTTGTAGCCAATGGGAAGTGAACCAGCAGATGGAAGACTTCCTCTCTTCCTCTTCTTTTCTCTAACTCTGACTTTCAAATAAATAAATAAAGAAGTCTTCAAAAAAATAATAAAGCAAATCTGGTTTGGAATCGCTGAACCTGAAGCTCATCTGTTCTGAAGGAGCTCGGTGAGATTGGAGGGATGCCAAGGACAAATCAGCTCCAAGCCGAGGCTTTCCTCCTTATACCATTAGGGTCTGTTGCGCCTTATTTATTTCTTGCAGTTTTTGTTTTTTTTTTTTTTTAAAGATTTATTTATTTATTTGAAAATCAAAGTTACACAGAGAGAGAAGGAGAGGCAGAGAGAGAGAGAAAGATCTTCCTTCCGCTGGTTCACTCCCCAAATAGCTGCAACAGCCAGAACTGTGCCGATTTGAAGCCAGGAGCCAGGAGCTTCCTCTGGGTCTCCCATGTAGGTGCAGGGGCCCAAGCACTTGGGCCATCTAATACTGCCTTCCCAGGCCATAGCAGAGAGCTGGACTGGAAGAAGAGCAGCCGGGACTAGAACCGGCGCCCATATGGGATGCTGGTGCCGCTGGTGGAGGACTAACCTACTGTGCCACAGCGCCGGCCCTGACATAAATTTATTAAAAAAAAAAAAAAAGATAGAAGGGGCTGGTGCTGTGGTGCAGCGGTTAAGCCACGGCTTGCAGCACTGGCATCCTGTATGGGCACTGATTTGAGTCCTAGCTGCTCCATTTCTGATCCAGTCCCCTGTTGATCCCCCTGGGGAAGCAGCAGAGGATGGCCCAAGTGCTTGGGCCCCTGTACCCATGGGAAGCCCAGATGAAGCTCCTGGCTCCTGGTTTTGGCTTATCCCAGCCCCTAGTTGTTGAGGCCATTTGGAGAGTGAACCACAGTACAGAAGATCTATCTCTCCCTTTCTCTTAAATCTACTTTTCAAATAAATAAATAAATAAATATTAAAAGGAGGAGGAGGAGGAAAACAGACTGTTAAAAATGGAATCCGCTGTTCCCAATCAAGCCGTCAGGTCCTGCCCTGAATCAGTCACTCCTGCCCCATGCCGGGGCCATGAGAGCCAGCAGGCAGCAGCAGGTGTTCGAGCCCCACTCTGGGCAGGCCCGCGCCGTCCCCACAGTGACCAGCACTCACCCTCCCACCACGTGCCAGCTGTGCCTCGCCCAGGCAGGAGGAAGTGCCGGGGCCTTGGCCCAGAGCTCCACAGGTGGAGTTTTCCAGGGGAGTCCAGTGAACTTTACTCTGTACAAAATCCCTGACAGGCTGCTTGTGAAGCAAAGAGATTTATTCTCGTAATTGCAGAACCAGCTCAAACTGGCGCTGCTCCGCCAGCTACAAGTGGAGTGGGGCTCTCTCAGCCAATAAAGACCAGCTCAGGCTGAGCCCTTGGGGGCTCTGGACTAAAGAAGGAGGGGGAGGGGAGGAGAAAGAAAGAGAGCGAGCGAGAGCGAGAGCACTCTAGATCTGAAAGCCTGGTATGTACTCTATGCAGGCGGAGGATTCCCAGACCGAGATCTGGCATAGGAACCCAAAAGCTACGCATTTATTTTTCTGTTTAAGATTTTTGTCAGTGTTTTATTTGAAAGGCAGAATGACAGAGAGAGAAAGAGGTCCTTCCATTCCACTGGTTCACTCTGTAAGTGGCTGCTACAGCCAGGGCTGGACCAGACCAAAGCCAGGAGCCAGAAACTCCAAGTTTTCCACCGGATGGCAGGGGCCCAAGGACTCTGGCCATGTTCCACTGCCTCCCCAGGCTCATTAGCGGGGAGCGGGACTGGAATTTTTTTTTTTTTTAATTTTTTTGACAGGCAGAATGGACAGTGAGAGAGAGAGACAGAGAGAAAGGTCTTCCTTTGCCGTTGGTTCACCCTCCAATGGCCGCTGCGGCCGGCGCGCTGCGGCCGGCGCACCGCACTGATCCGATGGCAGGAGCCAGGAGCCAGGTGCTTTTCCTGGTCTCCCATGGGGTGCAGGGCCCAAGCACCTGGGCCATCCTCCACTGCACTCCTGGGCCACAGCAGAGGGCTGGCCTGGAAGAGGGGCAACCGGGACAGAATCCGGCGCCCCAACCGGGACTAGAACCCGATGTGCCGGCGCCGCTAGGCAGAAGATTAGCCTAGTGAGCCGCGGCGCCCGCCGGGACTGGAATTGGAGCAGCCGGGGACTCCAGCCGGCTCTCCGATATGGGATGCTGATGTTGCGTCAGCCTAACCCACTGCACCACAATGCTGGCTACACATTTCAGGGCAAAGCACTTCTGTCTGGTTCTAACCGGAGCCAGAGAGCCTAACAGATGAAGCACAATCACTGTGGATTGGAAAGATCTGGGCATGGGGAACGGCTGGCAAAAACGCGAACGCAGTGGTTGGCTTGCTGCCAACACATACAACAGAGCGCACACTGCTGGTCACGCCTCCTGGGCTCGTGCAGAGAAAGCCGACACCCACAGCCAGTGTTTCCTCCCAGACACCAGGGCCCTGTCAGAAGCCAGGGTTCTACTGACCGGGAAACTCTGGTGCTAACCCCCCTCACCAGAGCCTGCCCGGCCAGCCCGCCGCACACCAGCTTGTCCACGCTCACCTGACCCCAGAGCAGAGAAGCGGATTGGCACCTGGCCTCCTATCTCCTTGCTGGCTGACCTTGCAACAAAGTCTTTCTTTTCTCAAGACCTGGTGCCCTGGTGCTGCTCCCACGTAGGTGTCGGTCACGTTGCGGCTCTTGGTGCTGGAGGTTCAGGTCCAGGCCTGGTGGTCCTGTCGGCTGTGCGTCTGGTGAAGCTGCAGGACAGCAGTGGCAGCGTCTGTCAGAGCAGGGGGCACAGGGCGAGCAGGGCAGCAGGGAGGACCCGGGCCCACTCAGGCTCTCTCCCCAGCCTTCTCCCAAGAACTGCCATCATCAGGCACCACCCAGCAGTCTTAGGCCCTCCCACTCGATCCACCTCCAAAACACTTAATTGATTGAGTCTTCTCTAGGGGCTGCTCATTAGCTAACAGGTGCTCTCCCTGCCTCCCGCTCTGGGCTCCAGTCCAAGAAGGGGTTCCTGGACTGTGGCTTCCCTTTAAAGAATAAAAGAGCCCTGGATGGAAGGGCAGGAGCCCTGTGTCCAGAGTGTGACCCTGGCCAGCCCCAGGTCCTCATCCAAGCGGACTAGATGCCACCTGGTGTGTAAGGGCTGCCTCGCCAGCCAGAGTTCCAACCTCAACCTCGGGAGAGTCGGCGTGGGGGAGGAGGGGCTGAGATGGGAAAGGGGCTGGGTGGGAGGCGCGGCTGAGTTCAAGCCAGGCAGGGCCATTAGGTAGGACAGGAAAGGGAAGGAAAGCAGAAGGAATTCCTCCCTGGGCGTCAGGAAAACCCGCTCCCCATGGCCCCCTACAGTGACCCCTGGGGGGGGGTCCCCGCCTTGTCACAGCTGTGGGTCAGCTGCTGTGATGAGAAGCAGCTCTTGGAGGCTCAGTGCTGAGGGCCAGCAGGTGCAACAGGTATCTGTGCTTCACCCAGTCCCCCGCCTTTCTCTGGGGTCTGACTGGCAGCCCCTTCCCTTACTGGGTGCTGTGTACACACTTGCAGTGGCTGTTAGGCGTTGGAGTGTTGGTCCTGAGGCCACGGCGGCCCCCGTCTCCCCAGGAGGAGCTGGGTGCTGAGAGCCTGCAGCAGCTGTTTGCTGACTGTTTGCCCTGGCAACCAGAGCAGGTTGCATCTGACCCAGGGCCAGAATGAGCTCCTTCATGGAGGAGGTGGAGGGCAGGGGGCAGGAGAAAGACACTACAGAGAGCTGAGCACCTGCAGCTGGCCGCTGGGCTGTCTTTAGGGTTTCGCAACTATGCTATGCCCTCTCTGCCCCTCTGCCTCCCCATCTGCCTAAGGGGTTTGCTAGCATCCACTCTGCCTCTCAGAGTCACTGTGATGCCCAGGGTGACACTTGTCATGAGTCTAGAGCCATAGGGACCACAGAGTGGAACCCACGAGGACGGGGTGTGGTTAGGACTTCCGGCCCTGCAGTGGGCTTGTCCTGCACAGGAGCGTCCCTTCAGTGGGCTGGGCAGCACCCCATCTCCAGACACACATCCAGGGCGGACCCACAGGCAGCCCCTCTCTGGACCAGAACAAGCTTCACCATGACCCTGGCTCCATCGTGGTGCCCACCTTGGGATCCAGGCAGGTCCACACTGTAGTCCCAGTAGTGATGAGTGGGCAAAGGTGGCCCTGGAGCGCCTCTGAGAGAGCCCCGTGGGTGCTGAGTCACAGGCTGTCCTGACCACCAGGGCAACCGTGGCACACGGCTGCCGCCTTGCCCTGCCCCAGTTCTTCGAGTGAGTTGATCTGTGTGTCCTGGGCAAGCTGCCTTTGCCAGGCCCCAGCTTCTGCCTCTGTAAAGTGGGGGACAGAGGGCAGTGAAATGGCCTTATTTGGCACTCACACTGAGTGCCACCTCCCACCAAGCGTCCTCTTGTGCCTTCTGTGCCCAGAGTCCAGGCACCAGCCCAGCTGAGGCCTCTGTTGGCTCTGGACCAGAAACAGCTCTTGTAGACCTGATCTTGGGGTTTCTATTTTCATGAGGGGTCTACACTCGCCATGCCTGCAGGTCCCTGTCCTTGGCACCTAGGCATTCTGAGAAGTGGGCCTGCTGGCAGCCTGTCACTGCTCTCACACACTGGAGCTCATCCCAGCCAATGAGATGCGGCTCCCACAGCCTCCAGGGAACCCCTGCACCCGATGCTGGTGGGCCAGTCCCTAAGATGACTCACAGGAGGAACCTTCTGTCCAGAGCAGGGTGACTCAGCGACAGCTGAGATGCCAAAGCCCCCCACCTCTCAGGCGCCTCCCTTAAACTCCATCTAGAGCTGAAATAGATGTATGGCTTCCCCCAGTATCCTGTGCTCTCCCCTTTATCTGTTCTCAAGTGCTCTTCCCCTTCTGGAATGCTCTTCAACCACTGCCCTCTCAACCCCACCCTCGGTCCTGCCATCCACACCGTGTCCTTAGTTTATTCTTTTTCCTTCTCTGAACCTCTGCTTTATCATCAACCCCCACGGAAGGACCTCTCAAGACCATGAGGATTAATTAGCACCCTGTGCCTGGGTACCAGCCTCACCCACAGCGGTCCATCAGACTCCGAGCTTTGAAAGCCAACACAGCTCCTATTGTAGCCTCTGACACACAGGAGGCATTTAATAAAATCACTGGTGCCTGAAGGAATGACAAGGGCATTTTGACACTGTTCCCTCCTGGGAAGATTGCTCTGGCGTGGCGGGTAGGTGGGGAAGGACACAAGACCAGAGGAAAGGGCACAGGTCACGTGGAGGACCCATGCGTCACAAGAGCCACGTGGAGGAGTCAGGAAGTTGAAAACCCTTTGTACTCATCAAATGAGGAATCCCAAGGGCACATGAGGATCCTGGGGTTGTCGCTGCAGCTGTCTGATGCAACCAACAAGCCTCCAGTTGGTCTGAATGCCCTCCTGAGCTTGGAGCTTGGACCACCTGCAGCATGCCCTGCACAGCACGACATCCTTTTATGAAGTCCAGCAGCAAGACAGGCACGGACCAGGCACCGGTCCTGTTGGGCTCAGCCTCTCTGACAGCTATAGCTTGGCCATGGCCCTGGGCTAATGGGACCACCAGAGGTGGGCTCTCAGGTAGGCCTGGAATGGTGCAGGGCTTTTGTCACCTGCTCTGGGAGAGGTCCCGGGTATGTGGTGCAGTCTGTGCATTGCCCAAGAGCATAGCCAACGAAGTGAGACTGACCACGGCAGAGGTGACACTTGCCAGGAGCAGGGAGCCTCGCTGAGGGGCCTCCAACAGAGGGGTCATCACCTGGTTAGAGCCGATGTGCCAGCTGGGCCTGAAGCTTGGCCAGGAAGGAAAAGGAAGGCTGTTCTGGCAGGCAGGATCAGAGATTCCTGGAGACTGAAACAGCTAGGAGGTGGGACTTAGACCTGGCCCAGGAACTGCCTGTGGAGGGGACTCGGAGCCTGGGCATTAGGAGCAGACGAGTCTGCTTAATGGGCACCCTATGCTTTGTTCTGGCTGGGTCAGGAGGCCACTTCTGTACCCACCTCATCCTCACCCTCCCAGGACCCTTTTTTGGCACGGTGTCCCCAAGTGCCTCCGGCTCTGTCCTATACCCCTGGGGCCAGCCCACTGCCTTGCTCAGACTGGGGTGCCCCAGGACTCAGCCCCCAGCGTTGGTAGCAATGAGGACCCGCCAAGCATCTACACTGGAATTCTTACCTAACCAGATAGAGGCTGCTGGTGCTGGTGGTGACCAGGGCTGCCTGCCCTGCTCTACAGCTTGCCTCCCTCCCTCCTGTACCTTTTCCACCATCGCTGACCCACAGTCTGGGTACCGATCCCCTGAGTCCAGGCCCCAGACCCCACGCAGCCTCTGGTCTTGGAGGCTCGGCCGAGAAGTCGACCTCGCCCGTGTTCCCAGGGTACACAGACTGCGGCGCAGGGCAAGGGAGAAGTGAGGCTGCTACCGCGGCTCCAGGGCTCTGGCCGCTGCTCCGAGGGCGCTGTCCACACCGTGGTGCTGAATCGCGCCGCGGAGCCACCCATGAGAGGACACTCCCAGGCTGCAGGATCCGACCAGGACTCCAGGACGCGACCACACTGGTGCCATAACCGTCACAGTTCTCACCCCCGTAGGTTAACCAAGAAGCAGAGGGGAAGTCCAATCTTGCCTATGGAGGCTCAGCGCAGGCACCAGGCAGGCCCAAGAGAAGCAGGCAAACTCCACTCCCCTGCTCTTTCCAGGCACCAGCGGGAGTCCACCCGTCTTAGACGTAGTCCCTGCACATTCCAGACCTATTTTACGGATTGTGGGCAGTAGGCTGGGCACAGGGAAGGCTCGCCTCAGTTTCCTGGGACTCAACCCATGTATGGCGTCCAAGCCGCGCAAACGCACAGGGAGAAACTCCCCAGAGATCCTTCCGTGTGCCTCCCACACTGTGAATGCGCCCTTCTTTGGCTCGGACACCCCCGTCCTTTGCCTCCCAGAGTCCCTAGAAGGATGGGGGCCGGCTGTTCCCAGCGAAGAGTATAGCAGCTGCGGAACCAGGTTTTGCTCATGAGCGTGGGGACGGCTAGGCTGCTGGAGGAGTTGTGCTCATATGGACTGTGCTACTAGGAAGCCAGAAGAGGCGGGCGCGACTCTGCGCACCAGGCTCAGAAAAATAGAACCGAAAAGTACCACGAGCATCCAGAAAGCCGTGCCCCCTGGGCCCCTCTCATCGGTCCCGCCGCGCCGCTGCCCAAGGTCTGCTTCCTGATCAACCGGAAGCGCGGTTCGAGTCCGAATAGTGGAGGCAGACTTCGGGCAGGCAGGTGCTGTCCAGCGCTCTCCAGTGGAGCCGAGCCCGCGGCAAGCGCCCGCTCTGCGCCGCCAGACCGCGCGCCAGGCAGAGGCTGGCGCGGGAGACGGAGACGCCCAGCGCCGAGCTGCCAGGGACCTCGCGTCCTGACCCCTCGCTGTCCCGCGGCGCCGCCAGCAGCAGGCCGCGCCCTGCAGGCACCTCCAGGCAGCGGGGTGCGGCAGGGAGAGCCAGCAGGCACGGAGCCTTCCCAGAGAGAAAGCGGAACATGCCCCAGCCGGGCGTTCCCCACTGGGCTGCTGGGCTGCGGGCTGATCTCTAAGGTGTGCAGTTGTTCACAGCCAGCCCTGGGAGGGTGGGAATGCAGGCAGAAGACAGACCTCTCCCTCTTACCAGCCTTTTATGCTACAAAATGAAAATGCGGGGCTCATTGTTCATGAAGTAAGGATATCAAGTCGGGAGCAGCAGAGCATTAAACCAAGCGCAGAGCCCTTCCAGGGGCACCCCCTGTCACTACACAAGCCCCACACCCACGAAGCCAGCTCTGCCCCTACGCAGCCCACACGTTTTGGAGGACCTTGGGACTACTTACTATTGCACCCCCCAGTCAGCTGCCCCAGTGCCGTAGTAAGGGAGGAGGCAGGGTCGGAGGCTTTATGAGCGCCCCGTGGGTGCTGGCAGCCAGCCCTTGTCAGAGGTAGTAGGGCCTTGCCAACCCTTGGCTTCTTTCTGCAGCCCCAATACCTCCATCACACCCCAGGGTGTGGAGCGGCCAGGGCCACACCAGGGGGAGGAACCGGCTCTTAGGGACCTGCTGCCTTGTTCTCAACTGTTCCTTCCCAGTATCTAAGCAGGCGGACTTCTGAAGTTAGTGAGGCCGACCGTGGCAGTGGTGTCTGGGAAGCCTCTGGAAGGAAGAACAGAGTCTTAGATCCCAGGTCTGGAGGGGACCTAAACAGTGGGTCCTCACCGGTCCAAACATTGCTCCGTTGTTATTAAATGACGCCTTCCCTAACCCGGGAAAGAGGCGCTAAGGAAGGAGAGACCTATCCTTAGGCAGGGATAAGAACTTCCAAACCATGGAAGGCCCTGATGGTTGGAAGAGCAGGGACAGCAGAGGGCGCCCTTGTTGTGCAGACACGGGGAGGCAGCACCCACAAGCACACACATTTTATCACACCTGCCCAGAGCCCCTCACCCTCGCCCTCACCCGTGCACGTACACATGCCCGGCCTCACAGGCATCTGCGAGGCCAGAGTTAGGACGCAAAGGACTCTCAGAAACCCTTCACCTTAACCCCCACGCCCCAACTCTCCATTTCCATGAACTTGTGGCCCGGCTCAACCAGCTGGGAAGAGGAACTGGGACCCGCGGATTCCTTCCCCACCCTGTGGCCCTGTGTATCTGTCCGGTGGGAAGATGTTCACTGCAGTGTTATTTTCAGTGGGGAGTAAGCTGATAACACCATCTGGGTGTGTTGCAGAGGCACAAAATGACAGCTGTGAAGGCTGTGAGCCATAAAGATAGAAAAGCAGGACACCAAGTTATTCCCATGTCAACAGTGCATTTGCATATGGAAATGAAACCTGGACTGAGCTGGGATGGACGATGGTTCTCATTTTGATTTTCCTAAGGATGTGTCAAACAGTCCCCTCTGGGAGAGAGAGGTTCCTGGTGATTGTTTTTCCCTTGTTTCTGACATGTTCCACAATGAGCAGGTATGAGTGGGATAATCAAGGGCAAAGAAGCAAACACACACACACACACACACATACACACGTCCCTGAAAGAGCCTGTTCTGTTAACACTGCCACAGTGGTATTAATCCGGGAGGGCATTCTCTGCCCCAGGCCGCCTTGGGGGATGGGGGCTCTTCCTTTTCCTCCCCACAGATTTCCCCCTCTTGACCCTTTTAACCTTCTTTAGGGGTCCCTGGACCACCCAAACAGGATGCAAATGAACACACTTGGAAGATCCAAAGGCCTCTGGTCCCAGCTTCCTGCTGTGTGAGCCTGGGCTCCTGGGTCGGGACACTGGGGGAGGGGGGACACCCAT